CAGCTGTACATTGATTAGGGAACTGCCAGAAATTCAAGATGGATTCAGAATGTGGAATGAGGGATATCACTGCTGATGCCCAGTGGATCTTTACTGAAGGCAAACAGTACCGGAAAAATGTTTACCTGTGTTTTATTGACTACAAAATGACATTCTACTGTTTGAATCATAACAAATTATGGATAATGCAAAGAATGGGAATTCTTGAACACTTTAATTGTGCTCATGAGGAACCTGTACATAGACTGAGAGACAGTCATTCAGACAAAACAAGGGGATAATGCATGATTTAAAATTAGGAAAGATTTGTAGCAGGGCTGTATCCTTTCACCATACTTATTCAGTTGGTATGCTGAGCAAATAGTACAGGAAGCTGGGCTATGTGAGGAAGCTTGCAGCATCAGGATTGTAGGAAGACTCTACGATATGCAGATGACAGAACCTTGCTTGTTGAAAGTGAAGAAGACTTGAAACACTTACTGATGAAGATGAAACAGTACATATTGCCTTCAGTATGGATTACACCTCAACATAAAGAAAACAAAAATCCTCATAACTGGACAAGTAAGCAACATTGTGATTAATGGAGAAAAGTTTGAAGTTGAGAAGGATTTCATTTGACTTGGATCTACACTCAATACCCATGGAAACAGCAGTCAAGAAATGCAGCAAAGTATTGCATTGGGCAAATCTGCTGCAAAAGACCTCTTTAAAGTGGTGCTGGCGAAGAATGCTGAAAGTACCGTGGACTGCTAAAAGAACTAACAGATCTGTCCTGGAGGAAGTGCAGCCAGAATGCTCCTTGGAAGCAAGAATGGCCAGACTTCGTCTCACCTATTTTGGTCATGTTGTAAGAAGGGACCATTCCCTGGAGAAGGATGTCATGCTTGGTAGGATGGAGGGTCGACGAAAGAGGGGGAGGCCTTCAAGGAGATGGATTGATACGGTGGCTGCGATGATGGGCTCAAGCATAGCAGGGATTGTGGGGCTGGCGCAGGATCGGGCAGTGTTTCGTTCTGCTGTGCATGGGGTCGCTATGAGTCGGAAATGACTCGACGGCACTTAACAACCACAACAACAAAGTGTTAGAGGGCAAAGATGCCACTTTGAAGACTAAGATGTGCCTGACCCAGGCCATAGTATTTTCAGTATCCTCATATGCATGTGATAGATGGACAATGAATAAGGAAGATTGAAGAATTGATGCATTTGAATCATGATATTGATGAAGAATATTGACTATACTCTGAACTGGCAGAAGAAGGAACAGATTTGATTTGTCTTGGAAGAAGTACACCCAGAATAGTCCTTACAAATGAGACTGGGCAGACTTTGTGTCTTGTACTTTGGTCATGCTGTCACGAGGGACCAGTCCCTGGAGAAGGGTATCATGATTGATATAATAGCGGGTCAGCAAAAAAGGGGAAGCCCTTCAATGAGATGGATGGACACAGTGGTTGAAATAATGGGCTCAAGCATAGCAATGATTGTGAAGATAGCACAGGCCTGGGCAGTGTTTTGTTCTGTTGTACATAGCATCACTGTGAGTTGAAATCAACCTGATGGCACCTAACAACAATGGCAAGATTTTAAAAATGTTTTTTTCCTATGTCTTTTAGTTTTACTAGTTGTAAGATTAGTCCAAATAACCTATCTGCTATTACCATACATAAAGTATCCTATTATGGCTTTGTTGTTAGTTTTCATCACTCTGTCTCTGTTTCATGGTGACCATATGTATAATAGAATGAAATGTTACCTGTTTCTGTACAATCTTCATGATCATTAGTGTGTATGACTTCATTGTTGTGGCTGTTTGTAGTGCCTTTCCACCTAGGGGGCTTATCTTCCAACACTGTATCAGAGAGTATTCTGTTGTGTTCCATACGATTTTCCCTTGCTGATTTTCAGAAATAGATCACCAGGCCTTTTTGCCCAGTCTATTCTAGTCTAGAAGCTCTGCTAAACATCTGCTAGTATTTAAAATACTGGTGATGCTGCTTCCAGCATGATAGCAACACACAATTGTCACACACAGTACAACAAACTGACAAACTGGTAGTAGATCATAGCTTTACTATGTTTTAATTAATTCTGCTTCCCATTTCTTCTTCTTTTTTAAATGCATTTTACTGAAATATAATTTATGTACAATGAAATACACAAAACTAAAGTGACATAGGTCAGTGCTTTATTTATTTATTTTTTGCGGTATTCCCTCCCCTCTCCTCCCACCCCTGGCAATCAACAAAGAAAGTTTCCCTCCTTATATAAACCTTTCCTTGACCTTCCAAACAACGAACTAATACTATATTTGTCCTTCTGCGATTGACTTCTGTCACTCAGCATAATGTCCTCCAAGTTTTCATCCATATTATGTGGTGTTTTGCAGACTCTACGTTATTCTTTAGTGCTGCATAGCACTCCATTATGTGTATGTGCCATAGTTTGGTCATCCACTCTTCTGCTATAAATCTTAGAGATAAGTCCCTTGCCAGATATGTAATTATCGGCAAATATGAATTTGTTGCTGTCATTTTTGTTATGTGCTTTTTCTTGGTGTCTATTACTTTGTTCTGTATAATTTTCTATGCTGAACTCATTTTGTTTATGAATCATGTTATCACTTCCTTTGTTGCTATTGTTTTAGTATTTATGGATATTTCTGCTGGTCCTCTTTTTTGATGTGAAGGTTTATCGTTTTTCTTTGAGGTTACCCTATGATTTATAGTTTTCTTCCCAAGTTTAGAACAGTGCGTTCTATCTTGTAGTTGTCTTGACTTCCCTACCATTTAGAAGTTCTGTAACTACACAATTTTTTCCTTCTTTTTGGTTTGTAGTCGTCCTCATTTG